GAGTATGCACGTGCTATAGGGATATAGGTTTGAAGAATAACCGAAAGTGGTAGGAAAGAAGTGGGTAATAGAATAAATCGGTGAGAAAAGGTAGTGTGAACGATATAGGATAGCATAGAGTAGAATTAGTTTGGTAGGGATAAGTGTTAGAATAAGTTAGAATAGGATAAAGGGAAGGAGGTTAGGTTAGGGTAGCGCAACAGCGTATTAGTGTAAGAACTAAGTAGAAGTCAAATTTTGGTAGCGATGATGAGTGGAAAGATAGAGAATAGAGATAAAGAATAGAGAATAGATAATAGAGATAAACGAAATTAGAAGGTACACCGCGGACAGAGAAAAGGAAGAGGGGAAGGCCGACGCAGGAGGAGAGTAGAAGCAGAGAGCGGCTAGAAAATAGAAAAATAACAGAGCTGTGGAAAAATGACTCAGAGGAAGAGGAGGTAGAGAGTTCCACAGATTCGGAGGAGAGAACAATGAAGAAGAAAGATCAAAAGACAACACCGCAGAATAGGGAGAAGAAGAAGGAACAAGAGGCAGAGAAACAGTTGGATATGAGCCAAGATATTGTAGGTAGAATAGTGGAAAGTTTAAAGATAGAGATAGTACAGGGCAGGGAGTTATTAGAGAAAGAAGTAAGAAAGGAAATGAAGGGGCTGGCACGAAGAATTGAAGCTATGGAGGAGAGATGGAAGAAAAAGGAAGAGGAGATGGGAAAGAAAATAGAGGAGATGCTAGAACAGATGAAGGAGGTGCAGAATAAGGAAAGACAGAGAAGAGAAGAGGAGAAAGAGGAAGCGGTGGAGGAAGTTATGGAAAAAATAGAGGAGAAGATAAATGAGAGAGATAGAAGACAAGAGGAAAAGGAAATGGAAAGAACAAAAGAGGCATGGAATGAAGTGAAGAGAATACACAGGAAGCTGGAGGAAAGAGAGAGGAGAGAGAAGAAAAACAAGATTGTTATTAGAGGGTTAGAAGTACCTAAAAGGGAGGCGAAGGAAAAAACCAGACAATTTCTGACTGAAGAATTTGGGGTGAAGGAAGGAATAGTGGGTATAGAAATCATAGGAGGAGGAGAGATAGCGAAAGTATCGATCGTAGAAATGGAAAACTGGGAGGCAAAGCAGGAAGTGATGAAGAAAAAGGGCAAACTACGTGGGAAAAGGATATACATTGACCATGATATGACGCAAGAAGAAAGAAGAGTTCAAAAATTGTTAAGAGAGAAAGCAAGGGAGGAAATAAATGAGGGGAGAGAGGCGAAGGTGGGATATAGAAAGATAAAAATACTAAACAAATGGTATAGATGGAACGAAGAAAAAGGGGAGATAGAAAGGGAGAGTGAAACGCAGCGGAGAGAGAATTTTTTATAGATAAAGAGAGTCAAGAAAGGGGAGGAGGGCAGAAGGAGGAGAGCAACAAGAATATTTTATTTTGGAATGTGGCAGGTTTAAAGAAGAAAGATAGAGATTTTTGGCAGCACATAGAGAAATATGATTTCGTGGAACTAGTAGAAACATGGATGGAAGATAAAGATTGGAGTAAGGTAGTAAGCAGACTGCCAGATGGTTACAAATGGAGATATCAAACAGCGGAAAGGGAGAATAAAAGAGGAAGAGCAAAAGGGGGAATTTTAACAGGAGTAAAGAAAGAACTGTGCGCAGGAGAAAAAGAGTGGGAAGACAAGGGGGTGATGGAAAGAAAAATTAAGATAAAAAATGAGAAATGGTCAATATGGACAATATATAACGGGGAGGGTATGAAGAATGTAGTAAGGAAGCTGGAGAGAGGAATAGCAGAAAAAGAAGAGGAATACATAATTATTGGAGGTGACATGAATGCCAGAGTAGGAACGGAAGGTTCCTTAGGTGTCGGATGGACGGAGGATGATGAAAAGGGGAGTAGAAGAAAATCGAAGGACAAAACCATAAATCGGTAGGGGAGAGCTTTATTAGAAATGTGCGAAAATAGAGGCTGGCATATATTAAATGGTAACGTTATAGGAGACGAGGAAGGGGAATTTACGTATGTGGGCAAACAAGGAACATCAGTAATTGATTATGTAATAACTAATACGAAGGCATTACTAGAAGTTAGAAAGTTTCAGATAGGGGAAAGGGTAGAATCGGATCATTTGCCAGCAGAGGTGGATATAGGAAAGGAGCAAATTGAAGAAATAGCGCAGGATGAAGGCACAATGGAATATATTGAGTGGGATGAGAAAAGCATAGAAGAATATAGGAAGAAATGTGAGGAACATGAATATAGACAAGGAACGGTGGACGAAGAATGGGAGGATTTACAAAATTGTATCAAAGAAAGCATGATCAGGAAGGAAAGGAGCTGGACGAAGAATAAGATAGGGAGTACTAAATGGTGGGACAAGGAATGCACAAGATTAAAGAGAAAAGTAAGAAGGACGTTAGGTAAGTGGAAAAGGGGTAAAAGTACAAAAGAAGATTTTATGAAGATAAAGGAGGAGCTGAGAAAATTAAAAATTAAGAAGATAGAGAAGAAAAGAGAAAAGGAACTCGAAGAAATAAGAGAAGCTAAAACAGATAGTCAGATTTGGGAATATATTAATAAACAAAGGAAGAAGAGGAGGAGGATAGGAGCAGAGATCAAGGAAGAAGAATGGTTGGATTATTTCATGAAGCAATTAAGCGGATCAAGAGGGAGAGTATATGGAGAGAGGAGAAAGGTAGAAGAGGTGGAAAGTGAGGAAGAGATTACAGATGAGGAGATTGAGGGGCAGATAGCAAAGTTAAAAAGACGGAAGGCAGCAGGAAGTGATCGAATACCAGCAGAGGCGTGGATTCTAAGTGAAGGAAAGGCAAGAGACAGGATCAAGCAAGTCATTAAAAGGGTATGGAAGGGGGAGGGCTTCCCTAAGGAGTGGAGAAGAGGAGTAATTGTACCACTGCATAAAAAAGGGGACTATCAAAAAGTAGAAAATTACAGAGGAATCACGCTGTTGAATACAGCATATAAAATCTATGCGGCAGTACTAAATGAAAGAATTGAGAAAAATCTGGATGATACGCAAGCAGGATTCAGACGGCATAGAAGTGTAATGGATAATGTTTATATATTACAGCACGTCGTGGAAAAAGAGCTTAAAAGGAAAGGAGGTAAGATTTTTGCCTTTTTCATTGACCTGAAGGCTGCCTTTGATAAGGTAGATAGAAAGAGGCGGACGCGCGTTGCATAGGTCTGTAGCCGGCTGTAAGAGCTGTACCCCCATCACCGGAGTTTCCCGACCTGTATATACGACCGTGGACCGTGTCCTAGGCCAGAGCTGCTCTGCAGGCTTTGCCCGTACGGGCAGGGTATCTCGTTACCGCGGGCATAAACAATTTGGCGGGCACTGATCGAGGCCCTCGCGGGCAACTTCGGCACACTTATTACTACTACTATTTTACGAATCTGAACCACGAGGGCTAGTTCCCCACTACTGAATTGAGATTGCCCGCGGACAACCAAGACTGCCCTTGCCCGCCAGAGCCTAAGGACCTAAAGGACCACGGACCTAAAGGACGGTGCATAGTCGAGGGGTAGGGCTCCCCAAAGCGGAAGGGGAAAACAGCTCTGTTTGAGCCATAGAGATAGTATACATAGAATACAGAAGCCAACGACAAACGTGACTCGCAAATAGAAAGAGAAAGAAGACGAGGATTACTACCTCTTTCTCTCTATGCGCATGCGCAGTACTCATGTAGATATATAATATGGGTTCGAATACGTTCGCACCCCGACAGAATTGGACAAAATTAATTATATTCAATGGAATTTGTATGTGCATAGTACAAGGTACTTTTATTTTTTACAATAAAATTGTAGACTGATGAATATTATATTAAA